TTGTGTGATAATATATCAACCTTTAGTCGAAATATCAAATGGCCTGAACGACGTGTTAACCCAGGTAAATTTAATGATTTTGACTTTGAGATGATGCTACAACTGACGGTTCTTATAATCTCGCGAATTGAAAGGAAAACTGCAGGGACGAGTAACAAGATGTAAAATATTTCGAGCAACAAATTTTTGTAAAACATATTTTCAACATGTATAAACACATGTGGCTCAAACTTACATTGACTCGGCAATCTCGTCGTTTGAATTCAGTACGAATTGTCCCTGCGACGTTAAGAAAAGTATGTGTATCAGTTGACTGGCAAGAAATATACCGTCCTTGACGAGGGCTGCAGAAATTCCCTCGTACGACGCAACCTGTTTCGAAAGCAGTCGTTTCCAAAATGTTTACGATTAGTCGTGGAACAGTTTAACACATTTTCTAAAGACAGGAATTATATATAATAATAAAAATAATAATAATAATAAAATAGAATACAGAAAGAAGTAGATATAATAAAATTTGACACGTAGAATGGCAAGGAAAATGATTTAATAAGAAAACGAAAAACAGGGAAATGTTAACGTGCGAGAGATTTTCATGAAATACTTTCTTTGGTAAAGGACATGCCAAAAATATGAGAGCTCACCTTCAACAACGTGACGCTGAATGCCACCATCACGAAAGCGACGCAAATACAAAGATAAGTGACATGACAGTCTTCGATGATTTTCAGGTAACTATTTTGAAACCATCGGAACAAGATCAATCAAACGTTTCATCGTCGATCGAAGATTTCATAAATAGATGAAACATAAAGTGAAACGCGTTAGAAGCTTTCAGAAAAATAACGATTAGTTAAGGAAGAACTAGGCAGTGACTAGTGTTAATATACTCAATATATATTTAAATATTTAAACTGTCGTAATTTTGTAAAAGGAAATTATACAACGATAAATCTGACTCGTTTCGAAGCTTCTTCAAAATACGTTAAATAAAATTATTTTATTCTGTAATGCTTTTACATCACCCATAGTGGGTGGACAAAAGAAGCTATTTTTCTTCTCATAATGCTGTAAATTAAATATATTTTCCTTCTTTTAATGCTATAAATTGTCATAGCGTGTAATTTTTTTTTTTAGCGAATCTCTAATGGATTTGAAGAAACCTATACAATGAAACCAGAGATTTTGATGTATCATTTTTCTTTTCCATTGAACTTTGAATATCAAGCGAAAAGGAAATATTTTCAATCAAAGTTCAATAAATTGATGAGAAAGAAATCGTTCCGGAAATTTTGGCGAAGGTCGTTGTAAAGCTTCAGTCTTCAAATCTGTTTGAAGGTTTAAAGCTAGATAAGTGAAGTAACATTTTTTTCAACGTTTCTATATACTGTTGACAATTTGTAGAAACATTTTCGAGAGAAGCGAAGTGTCCTATAAAACTAGAATTTCTTTTTGCAAAACGACGACAGTTTCGAATATTAACGCAAGTTTTGTCAATTTTAGTACAAACTTGACAGCGTGTTGGTGTGCCTGAAACGAATGGCGCACTCTTTCGTAGTTCTCATCGTGTGTGTCGTCCAGCTGTTTCACGGCAGACAAGTCTGAGATCGCATTTTTGAAACGGTGCCTGTAAAAAGAGATCTCACAGACGTCCGAACGATTGAAACTGAGATTTCATTCCTTTCATCCAGTTGATGATTTCTTTCTTTTACCCGGCCACTGCTATCTGCCCGCAGGCGTGTTGCACGACGCACACGTAACTCGTATCACAGCTGACGAACACATGATACGCCACAATAACTACGTAGGTGAAATGGAGAATTATAAACGAACGATACTTGCGATCGTCGAGCAAATAATAAGCCGGATAAATGTACAGCACATCTCGCGTCTCGTTGGCCGGTAAAATTATGTCGAAAACAATTGGCGACAATGCTTGTTGGACGAAGCATCCGGAACAGACCATGCCGACTCCTGTAAATTCAGATCAGAACGGATCAGAGCGATTGCAGGGAAAATTGAACGTCGAATCTTCGAAGTGGTTTCGGCTACTTTACCGAAATACATTCGACAAAAGAAAGCTGTCCTCTCCGCGTATACCACCATAATCTCCAGTTCGTCCTTCGCTCTGTCTTTCGACCAATCCTCCCAAATGGTGTCGAGCAGCATCTTATACTGCAAGTTTCGTAACATATGAAAATATAAGTCTGTCGTAACTACGAGTAATTTCGACCCTTTAAAACCTTAAAATCGTCGGAGAGAGAGAGCGAGAAATTTTAGAAATCAGTGAAGCCAAACAAATTCATGTTTCGCCGTTTGTTTAAAAACAGAGGGAAAGAACATTATCCTTCAGAGAGCAACAGAAGTGCAATCTAAGAGAGTGGAAAGCGAAATGAGAGGTCTACCTCTGTAGCCTTGATGATGTAGTTTCCTTGCTTTATCAGTATCCCGGATATTAGAAACAAAAAACAGATTTGCTCTATTATGGCATCCAGGCTGAAGAAACACACGAGTTGTGCCACCTACGATTAGCGATGGATTAACGTTTAACAGAGAAAGGAAATTCTCTCGCACACACAACGATGTTAAAAGAATTCGACAGTTCGCAAAAATGTTTACGCATATGTTAATATAACAATTACACGGAGTGAAGAATTTTACACTTTGACAGTTACATTATGGGCTTTGATTCACGTAGTTTTTTATTTATTTGAAAGAAGTAGATTTTACATTCGTATAAAATTGGAAGTAATTTTTTTGCACTTTATTTTTACTTGTATAGATTGAAGAAGGTGTCCAAAATGACGATCTTCCTCCAAACACATGGAAAACTAACGCAAACAATAAGTGATATTATTATCAAAATTAAATTGATAGAATGACAATTTAATTGTCTGACAATTATCGTTAAATCTTCGTATAAAAAAAAAAATATATATATATATATAAAACGAAATATTTTTATATTCCAATCGTATAAACGCAAAGTCTACTTTTTGAAATAAATAAATAAAAACAAGTGAAGCTAATAGTGTAAGTTCAAAATGAATAAAAAGTGTAACACACTGACAAAGTTGATCGGTTTATAATCCTGTGTATGGCATGCACAAGTAAAACAAATTTCTATCCGAGTGCACAGTTATGCGAACATCGGCGATCGAATGGTCGCAGATCTTGATTATCAGAACAAGTATTACGTTTACCTGAGTAAAAAGCGACGACACACAGATGACATATATAATCGTTCGCGCGACAAGTTGCGAAAATTTACTCTGATCAGGCCAGATCCCGGTCAACATCGAGCACATCTTGGTTACTTTCATATACCTCTCTTCAACCGTGATTTTGTCCATGATAATACGACGAGCTTATCTATTGTCACGGCTGTATACGCGAGTATACATGTGACGAGTTGCAGAGAAATTTGTTAAGTGAGTTGAATTTGCTTGTCTATCTCCACTTCCGTCCGATCATTCAATATTTATCGGAACGATGAATGTTAAGTATACCAGCTGTCACCGTGACCCTCGTGAAAAGAAGATAACAGTTTTAAATGATTCATCCTCCCCCCATCCCCTCCTCCTTTCGAGTCTATAGACCATCGAAGTACTGTTGATAAAAAAAAGTTCGATTAACTTAATGGAAATATCAACTTGCCGTGAGTGTGTGTTCCTGTCGTTGTGACGTTTTCCACGGAAAATACCATTTAGAAACGTTAGCTATTCTGTCGATATGGTCCGATTAAAAGTAGTCAAACGTTCGTTCTGTTTAATTCTGTGCCGAGAGCGATTAGCTTGAAACCTAAGTAGTAAGCAACCTCGGATATCTACCTTGAAACGAGGTTGACAGTGGAAAGTTTGAAAAAGAATAGTCGGACGTGTAGAACGGGTTGAACGATTGGGCCGGTTGAAGGATGCTTGAACATCGACGAGAAGATCTGTATGGATTTTCATTTCGTCATCTTCTGTTCTTCGGGCGAGTGAACAGTCGAAAGATATTTTGTCTCCCTTGTCCCGTGTTCTCTCTCTTCCTCTCTGTGAGAAAGTGCCGCGAGCTTCGTGCACGTTTAAGCTGACCTAGTCCCACGGTCTAGATTCACGGTTAATATTTTGCAACGAGATTAATAAGCGATCCGATCGTGTGCGCGAATAATTCAACCACTCGCTTCTGCCAGTGATATCGCGTTGCGTACGTGCAAATATCCAACTAATCGAATCGATTCAGGTAAGCCACCAGACAATGGGTGGATTTTAAATTTAAATGGACTTCAGCGCGTGGCTTCGAAATCCTCGAAACTTCGAAGCTTGAAACGCTGAAGAGAAATCGGAGTTGACGCTTCTGCATAAATTTCCAGTGGCCGAAAAATGACGGAATAACATGCAAAATTATCTAATCTGGATTCTTGATCGAGAACACTGTGTCATCCGAATTCTTGTTAACATAATAAACAATAGAATCGTTAATAACATAATATATAGTATAATAAGCTGTAATATCTTTTGATATCTAACGCACGTTTTTT